TGTCCTTCCAGGGCCTGCACAGCACAGTAGAAGGGCAGACTTCCAAAGGACTTGCATTGAGAGAATATGATTTTCTCATTTTTGCAGGTATGAAAACTGTGCTAAATCTATGGTTCTCATACATTGCCATTTTCAGACTTTGCTCTCTCAAAATGATTCCTAAATGTGATGCGGGGGAAACAGGCATTACGGTATCACAATCCTCACCCTGCTAGGCACAGAGTACACATAGCAAGATAAAGCCGATGAGGTCCCTGCCCTGTAGGAGTCTACAGAATCTTGGTGGAAACCAGCATTCAACAAACATAAGTAATGGCAAATTCAAGAGGCACTATGAAGGAGACCCGAAGTGCTAAGGTGGGACATAGACATAATACGTGGATGGAAGTAGGTCCTAGGAAGGATGCACTGGACCAAGACTGACCCAACGTCCACCGTGAACAAAGTGTAATGTCAAATTAAAAAAAAAAAAAAAAAAAAAGATGTAGTTCTGCTTCCACAAGACCTAAGTAGCCATTTTCTTAAGAAGGGACAAAGGATTTCATGCCTTCTTTGCTTATATCCTCTCCATTTTGACTTTAGATAAGGAAAAGTTAAAGGAGCCCAAAGTTTTAGAATTAAGTCACTTGTAATTCTTTGTATATTAAAAATAAAAATAATTAAAAGAAAAAAAATCAATTCTTCAATGTGTCATTCATTTTAGAACCAACTATAATGTTTTGAACCCAAAACAACAAGGTTTATGAGCAAATCCCATTTCATATAGAGAAGATCCATTTTCTGTACAGTTTCAAAGTTTCTGGAATTTAACAAAAGTATCTGAGATTAAGCCTAATTCTTAAATCCCGTCAGTTTTAAGATCTCAACATCAAATAACTTTATCAGCATAGTCCTATTTGATTACTTGCTGAGAAAGAGAAAGAATGTGGATGAGGTTAAAGCCTTGGACTTCACAAGAGAAAACAAGATATGGGCTGGGACATTCAGTTGCAGAATTCTGTGCAAAGACTTCAAGGCATCCTCCTGATTTTCAGTAAATCACTAAATATTCACTGCCTTCTCAATCAAGTACATAGGCAGTATATTTCCATGTCTTGAATAACCAAATTAAGGCAAGAAGTCTAAAAGCTTTTTCAAGGTCAGTGGCCATACCAACTTTTGGACACGTCTTTAAAATAGAGTATAGTCCTATAGACCATACTAGGAAATCATCAAACCTAGTTGCACAGAACAATCACCGGGGGAATTGTCAGAAAAGCAAAGGCCCAACTCGTAAGATTCTAATTTAATTGGTCTCAGACAGGGCCCAGTCTTCCATATAGTACACACACACCCACGCGCCAACCCCCCCCCATGCCCCCACACATACAACCCACACACCTTGCCCAGGAGATACTAATAATGAAACCACTGCTTTAGACCTGGGCTATATCCCAAAAAAAGAAAAGACAAACAATTCCTGATAATCAATCCTGAACTTCCATTTAAGGGGAAAACTTCTGCCTTAATAACAATCATTTGTGTTGACATCAACATCTCATTCAAAAACAGAAGATCTCGGCAAGATAAAAAAGTTTGCAATCGCCAAACATCCTCTTCAAAGCAGCAAAAGAGGCCAAAAGCAAATGACATTTTTTTCCTTTTGTCATCTGCAGTGATGCCCATTAGGTATTAGCTATTGGTTATCGTATTAAGGTTGGATCATCTTGCAAAAAACTTTATTTCCGCTCATTTTCATTTCTGTCAGACTTTCCATTATAAATTTTATTTTCTCTGCCAGTAAAAGTAGTATGAGGTTGCAATTTGGCAAGAACATTTTAAGCTTGGGTGTGATTTCCGTACCCCAATTTGATTTAAATTAGTTTTGCCATATTTAGTGAGAACTAAAAAAAAAAGTCCACTTGGCCGCTTTGCTTTGTCTATTGGTTCTTTTTCTATACAATTTCAAAAGTCTGAAAAAGTTACCATGTTTATTTCTGATAATTTTACATGGAAATGCATTAATGAATTCATATTGTCCCATTACTATTTATAATGAAAACAACTTAATAAAGAACCTGCCAGCTTTTGTTGTTTGGTTAAAATATCTGCTTTTTAAAAAGCCACGTGTCTATCACTATTAGTGTTAAATCCTCAAGAGAAACATAATGGATATATATAAATAATATATATATGTGTATATATATATGTATGTATACACACACACACACACACACACATATATATTTAACCTGATGCATTTCTGAAATAACATACATTTCAGAATAATAATTTATTTCTCCAGGACAGCGTTTTGCTACCTGTTGCTTATCACCACTATTTCTCAAACAAAAGGCTATTGGGACTGGAATAAGCATCTTCACATGTAACAGTGCTCATCCCTCTAAGTCCACAGGATACATTGTTATAATACGACAGATAAAGCTGCTTTTGGAACTCCTCAGGGCAGATCGTCCAAAGGATTTCCACCCAGCATCTCTAGAATGTAGTAAACAGGAGAAACAAAAGCATCCTCTCCAGGAGAGCACTCACCTTGCCACACAGTGGGGAATCATTTCAGCTGTGATCTGCTACTTAGACTTGAAGCCCAAGATACCCGCGACTTTGCCTCTCTTTTTGGTTTGCATGGCTGGTGTTGGAGACAGGGATATCCCAAAAGCAATTCGGCACAAGAGAAACATTCACTGGAAGACACACTATGGTCTGCTCTATTCTCAAATTTCACGGAAAGCAGAAATTCATTATATGGGCACTTTTCCTCTCCAGCCCCTATTTTCTCAATCAGGGAATTTCCGAAATTTTGCTCTTTTATTTATCCTTACATGATCACACTGTTTATGGATACTGCTGAGACCATGCTAAGCACAGAGACAGTCGGTTCTTGCAAGACTCACAACCATGAAGCAGAAATAAGAGAGAGAGAAATCTCCACACTCCACAGCTACATTATGAAGACTTTTTAAGAAAAGCATATGCAGTCATACTCCGATACACAACAGAATTTTCCTGGCCACGAATGTCTCAAAATGAGCCTCCCAAGGCCCAGAAATTCAGCCATCACACACCAGTCCATCCACCTCTACTCCACCCTCTGCCCCCTTCCACTTCTCACCTTGTGTTTGCCAAAAAAATAACTTCAGTTTCACCCGAGGGAAGTATTTCCCACAAACCGAGGGAGGGTCTGCGTCCCTGCACATACACAGACAGACTCACACGGTCTGGATGATGCTTTAACAAGTTAAGGGGCCTCACGCTTACTCAGCAGAGGAAATCTTTGTGTCTGTGAGGAATCACGCCAATTCCTATTAGTAAGAAAGGATACAGGGGCGAGGAAGCCTATTCTCTCATTGACCAGAAAAAGAGGCCCAGCGAAAACAGAGACCTCTGCCATGACCATCTGCAAAAAGGAAGGATGTTGTCAACTTTCTTCTCCCCAAAACTCTGACGACCTCTGCCTTGACCCTCAGAAACCAGATACACAGGAACCGGCTCTTCTGCAGGAATTGGGAGCTTTACACTAGAGACTCGGCACTAAGAGGCTTGTCGCCCAAGCTATCTGCCCCGAACATTTGCACTCACATTCCAAAGATGTTTCCGTTGTGCTGGAATGGCTGTAAATTTCTTTCCTGCAGAATTCTTTCCAAACAAACTGCTATGAACTGTACTGTGCAGCCTGTGTGTCAGGAGCTCTTAACCAAGCACTGGTTCACCTCATTGCAACCAAGCTTTCAGATGCCGAATAGGACTGAAGGGGTGGCTGGGCCAGAGGAGGCAATTTTAAAAATGCAAATATATCCGGGGGGGGGGGGAGGATAAAAAAAAATAAACCTCCACCAGAATTCCACCTCTAGTGACATATGACTGATACATAAAGGTGACATCCTTCACAGGCTCTGTTTAATTGCTAAAACTGTCTGCTTACATTTTCCAGGATATATGAAACAGGTTGTTTCAAAATTTCAAAATCGATTTTTTTCCCCCCATATCATTAAAGAAAATAGGAGGGTGAGCGGGTTCGAGAGCATAAGAAGAATGTATATTCAGTTTGGGTGAGGAATGAAACAGTAGAAAGCTTTGAATCTGAGAGAGGATTATTAAATTCTATCAAGAGTTCTCCCAAGTAAGAAACCCATGCACTTACAAAAAAGAAAGTCCAAATCCTAAGCAAAATAAAAGATTTTTAAACATACGATTAATACCGAATCTGAAGTTAAAAAGAAAGCATTTATACAAACTCGGTTGTCCTAAAACAAAGCTTATACTTTTGGTGATGGATAGTATTTTTAGAACTTAGCTTTCTCTGGAGAGTGCAGAGTATGCAAATGCAGAGCACACAGAGACACAAACACACACATGCTGTACCTTTGTATTACACTGGCATTTTATTATTTAATTAAAGTACTCTTATTTTTCTAGCTCACGCATGCTTCCCTTGAGACGGCTTTGCTGTTAGCCTGCTGGCCTTGACTTCCAGCCAAAAACAATTCAGAAACAAAAAGGGACAACAAATCATATTTTCACAGACATTTTTATCCCTCAATACAACCCTGTTTTCACACAACATCATCCAGCCCCTATGAAAACTATAATTTAGGGCAATAACCACCTGAACCCAGGGTCTGACACATGGCTGCACGAAGTATTTCTAGTGTAAGAAATTCTTAAGTTCTTAATTGCAAATAAACTCTTTTGATAGAACCACTTTAACCGACATTGCTAGTTGGCAAACAGTGCCACGGGTACCGACTGATGGATTAAAAAAGAAAAACAAACCAGTGAAGGCAGTTGTGATACGGTAGCCATCTCTGTGAAACAGAGAACGAGGGGTTGATTACTTCCAAGCTCTGTGCTATTTCATTACTTTCTAAAAGAGAGAGGCATCGGCAGACTTTCGGTGCATCTTAGTGCCATACTCAAAAATGCATCACCTAATTTACAAAACAAACCAATTTACCAGGCTCATTCTTTTCAACCCTTCCCCAAGCAAGATTCTCACTTACCTGGTGGCAACCCTGTAAGTTTGATTCTCTCCCATAAGATGAGTATGAGCCCCTTTCTGTTTTACCTGCCAAGAGAAACAACAAAAAAAGTGTAAATTATGCTTTTCCTTAAAAAAAAAAAAAAAATCTCCAGGTAACAGACATCTACTTCTCTTCCCCGATGTTTACATACGTAAAGTAGGCACTACTGTCAATGTATGCAAGCAAGAGAGGGAATAGCACTTCCTCACTCTGGCTATGATAAACTGGAAAAAAAATATCCTTCATTCCTATTCTTAGCCAAACTGCTCCACACTTCCAAAAACTGTCATTCCAATGGCCTCCACTTTCTCTAACAAACAAATTGTCAGCCCTTATTTTCACTTTCTTTCTCTCGCAAAATTTAAACAATTTCATTTTTATTTACACAGCAGGCAAATTATCCATGTAATGACCCTAGTCTAGTAATTCCCATTGATTATATTGACACTTAATGGTGAGGCCAAAGCTAATCAATCAAGGCTCTCCAGATGGTGAAAATAGCAAAGAAACTACTCAAAATTCTGAGACACTCTCTCTCTCTTTTTTTAAACTCCCTTTCCCAGGGGTACACCCCATCATGATCAAGACGATGATAGAATTTACATTGGGGAAAGGGGGCTTTTGCAAAATCGTCCCCTCTCAACCCAAGTTCAGACTCTACCAATGGACCCAGTGGAACAAGGAATAATGGACTGTCCATGTCTCGTGCCAATGCTAACAACTCAGTTTTTATCTGTAGATGGCTCTACAGAGATATATAGAGCCTCAGGTGCTATTTGGCCACATCTAAGGATAAAATCAAAGCTGCTCATTTGTTTTTGGTTTTTTTTTAGAAGTATGTTTAGCCATAATAATCTGTAAGGGAGACAATGAAGCCACATTACAAGAGATCTAAGCAGTAGAATTTAGTGACATGTGAAGAGTTGTTATAGAAAATTGATCCATACTAGGACATCAAAAAGGACTAGTGGCATGACCAAGTACCCAGAAGACAAACCCCACCCCACCCCACCCAAGATGGAGGGGATACTTCCCTCTTCAAGACTAGAGCTGAGAGGGACGTAGCACTTTACTCAAGACTCTACTCTTCTTCTTTCCAATGGGAAGATTCAAAACTAGTATTCTGAGAGAGGGAATTGAAATCCTTCTAAAGTTTATGACCCCCAAGTTTTCCTCCCTCCACTCCACTTAAAATAAATGTTAAAAGTAACGGCAGTCATTTTTTATCTTTTGGTTCAATGACAATGCTATTAGAGTCTACCTTCCTGACACCACACAAAGAACGGATCTTTAATAAATCTTCTATCTTGTCAAAAGTGTACCTGGTATTGAAGTCACTGTATACATAAAATGGAAGGTGATTTTCAAAGAAAGCCAAACCTGAATCTTAAAATTAACCCTCTCTCCCTCAGTATTAACTTTTCTACTGGCTTCAGTGAATCTTGGGTTTAAGAAAACACTCCCCCCTGCTCCCCCATTTCTGGTATAGTGTTCAGTGCAAAGTAGAAAATCAATGCTCATATCAGTTTCAATTCCAATGAAACAGGATACCATCTCATAGACTGTCAGTCTTGAAAGATCTAAGAGAATAACTTTCATTGTATGAGGATTTTACATTAAAGCAAAGACGCATTTACCCGTTTCAGAAGCATAAATGGTCATATACACATATTTACTCTTCTGTGTAAGTCCAATGTAGGCTCCTTATACCCTTTAACTTCCCTTTCTAAATATTACTAAGAGAGAAACTTGACCTTTATGAGCTATCAAATGATGTACGTCCTTCCTCAAGTTCTTGCATCCAAAAAGCTTTAATACAACTACCACATAGTTCCCTTTGACATCATGTTCACTTTTTTAACTGCCAGAAAAGCAGTGGAGAGGTAGGGAGGCAGGCAGACAGACAGAAAGATAGATGGATAAAGCAGAATTTACTCTGACTTCCTAGGAAATTGAACATCTAGTGTCCTGTTTGGGTAATTTCCAAAAACTGGATTGCAAAATACAGTAAGAAGGAAGAAGGTTATCTATTTTTTTCTCTAGAAGGACTTACTGAAGCTATCCCCTATAGAATCTCACCACCTGGCATTATTTCCCAACCCGACACCAGCACATAGACCTGGAAAGATGCATTTTCCTACCAGGATTTGTCTCAATTCATATATATAAGTTGGGGCTATTCCTCCCATTATTTTAAAGCTAGAAGGTCAGTGCAAATAATAAGGGAGAGAGAAAAAGAGAGAGAGAATATGAATGAAAATAAATGGGAGAGAAAGGAGAGAAATCAAGAGAGAAGAAGTGGAATGAAAAGAGCAAAGGGGTAGGAAGGAAGGGAAAGAAGAGAATATGAATTCACGCCACACAGAGTCCCCAAAGTACCCTTGGCTACATAGACCCGGCATTCTTTACTATCATATCAGATACAGACTGCTTAATCTTAATTTTGCTTGTTAAAAAATATTTATCCAGATACAAAAATAAACCCACTGCAAATTACAAGTTGTCAGGGTTAAAAATCTACTCCTGTTTGTGTGGGGGAGGATAAGAGACCAGCATAGACATGAATCATTCTCAGTAATTTGAGTGTTTCCATGACATCAATGGGCACCCGTCCAGGACTCTGTCGAAGTCTGCGAGGTACCGAAGAGGCAACGCAGCCAGCAGGAGGCTGGGAGGTGCACTTTTTTTTAGGGTTTTTTTTTTTTTTTTTTTTTTTTTAGGATTATGCTCCTTGTAAAGATTTCATCTGTAGCATCCACTTTTACCATCAAATAGATCGCTCCAGAGATCCTGAGCGAACACATTTCATTCTGATAGTGTAAGCCTTTAACTTTATTACATCTTTTTGTTTCCAAATTCAACTATAAATCTGCCCTCAGAGCCCAAACCCCTGTTTGGGAGCAAAATAATCAGGGACTGTGGATAAACCCAAACACCTTCTCAAACATATGAGACCCATTCCCATCGTTTGCTAATGGCAAACCACAGCCATTTTACAATGACATCTCAGTTTCTAAAACACACACACACACACACACGTGTATCTTTTGTGTAAACTGCCCATTAAAAATTAGCTATGGTTTTGATGTCGGTTTTCTGCTTAAAATTCCCTGAAACATTTGTTTCAGATAATAAAATGTTCAAGAGCACTGATAACATGTTTGGGGAGGATTCTTAAGTGACTATCTGTGCTCCTGAACACAAAAGCCCCTCAATATCTGCGTTTACTCTATGTCAGGCGTGGATTTTTGTCACTTAGACCAACTGGCTGGCGCGGACAGCTTCTTTCCTCCTTTTTCCATTCTTCGACACCCACCTCCCCCCATCCCCACAACCGCAACGGAGCTTTGAAAGAGCGAAAAACCCCATTTTCCCAATATTTAAAAGAGATAGCAGTGATGAACAAACCCGGCGTGTTCACTGCGGAATTTTCGAGACGACCCTCCAGTACTAGAATGCGACAGCCGCTGCGGATATTTTTTGGCACAAAGACGATGGTGGCGGTGCCAAGCCCCGTGGCTAAAACTACTCAAAAGAGGCATAAGGGTAGCATTAATCGCTCAAGTCTTTTACTGCATGGACTACTGTTGTCCATATTTTAGAAACTAAAAGTACCCGTTAGTAACCTTTGTTGTATGCCCATAAAGGGGTGTGTGGGGGGGATTCTGAAATACATACCAGAAACCAATCTTGTCAGGCATTTGATTCATTTTTATACCTAAAAGGACCAAATGTTAAATTTTGCTGCTGGTGATGATTTGCCTTGCATGAAGTGAATGATATGACCTAATGGAGCACATTGAAGGCTGAATGAAAGCTATAGAGATGATTTCATATAAACTAAGTCGACATATTGGCTAAACAACTTTCTTCTGCAAAAATGATGTATACAAGGAACATGTAATACTATGTCACAATTTTTTAAATTAAGCAAGAAAAACGCTGTAAATGAGCAGACACAACTTCCGTCAATCAATCCTTCTGGAGACAAAGGAGATCAACACGCAGCCCCTTCTCCAGAACAAGTCAGCATCTACAGTAAGCAAACAACCCAGAAAGTCAACACGTGTTTTGACCAAATCGAGCCCATCAGCTGCTAAAAACCTATGTTTAAATTTGACTATTAAAAATGGCCACAACTGATAATCAATAAAGGATTCCCTTCCCTCTTCTGTTGCCTTTGAAAAACTAATCTAAGCAGAAAATATGAGCTGCTTCCAATTTTTTTTTAGATTTTTGTTGATCTAGTCAGTAATCCTTTATCTTGCTGCCCCGGGAAGGAGAAGTGGGGGGGAATGTTTTTTGTTTGGGGGCAGTGTTGTTAAGAAATGTCTATATAATTCCAAATTTAGTACTTTTATATTCTTGTATCATTTACTATTTGCCTTCTAATTTTTTCTTTCAGTATATCCATGTTATCCTATTGTAAGAGAATGCCCAGGGAAGCGGATGAGAATGAAAATATTACTTGAAGAGAAAAATGATCTCATAAACCCATTCATTCACAGGGATACATCCAAGAAGTATCAGCTCTGGTCGATGACTACACCTGAACAGTTCTAATGCACATGGAAACAAACAAGAACAACTTACTGATACTATGATTTCTGCAGATAAGCTGTGACATAGAAGACCGTGCTGGTGGTTGACCAGCAGGGTGATAACAAGGTCATGTTTGGGTTTCTAGCCTTTCATTCTTAAAAGGTCACTTTTAAAATTATATATAAATGGTAGGTATCTCACCCACCCCTGAAAAAGAGGCACCTGTACCAAGGGAACATATCATCCCATGAAAAGCCTTAATGAAAACTTATCTGATGCTTCAGGACAAACCAGGCAAGGCTGCTTCCCTGTTAATCCTCATTCTGGGGACTGAAGAATGAGCCTTTTGTTCCCTGGCATCAGACTAGGAACTCATAACCATGTTCGGATCAGAATAAATCTCTGTCCCTGTCCCTAACCCCAACCCATCCCTGGTTACCCTATTAATGAGTATTGTGATTATGATGATGATAGTGATGATGATTCTGCATACTGAAAAGAC